CTGGCCAACAGCTGCATGCTTATGCTGCTGCCCCCCATGGGCACAGTAAGGGAGTTTTTCTGCTGTCAGCAAGAGGGCTTGCCATTGAGGGAGATGTTGTAAATCTGCTCTCTGGCTGCTGCAGTTTGCAGTCCAGAAATCTTGAAGACCCATGGAAGTTGAACCTGGAGTTGAACCTGGAGTTGAACCATGGAAGTTGAACCAGGGTTACATGGCTGGAGTTGGTTTCCCCATAGACAACTCCAACCAGTCCACAGCCGGTGTCACAAAGTTCTCATAGCGTGACCTTTTGCCTTTTCCTTGTACAGACTTGGTTCTCTTCTTGGATGGAGGATGCCTTTTGACTCTTGTAGTTTGGGAATTTTGAGGTATATTTTCTTCCATTATCATTTCACCCACTTGTACTACCTTCTGCTTTTGAGCAGATTTCAAGGGTGTCTGAATAGTTTCTGCTGTTAATTTGTTTATTTATGTGATATCCACTTCCTCAGTTGTTGCATCTTCCACAGCCTGTTTGTTGCCTCTAAGGGCAAAGTTCATTTCACGCAGTGCCTTGGGAAGCCACAGGATCTCGACATATAGGTTATCCACCTCCTTAAGGAGTTTCTGCCTGTCTGACTCCATTTGCTTGATCTGCGCTTGAATTTCTCAGTTGAAGTCTTTAAGAAACGAGGCGAGTTTTCGACTCAGTAATGAGTTGGTCTTGGCTGCCCAACTGCTGCACTTTCTAGAAGGAGTCATGGTGCTCAGGTGGAGGCTGTGGATCACAGGAAGGGCCCAGAAAAACCTCACTGTCCTAGTAGAGACCAGCAACTCATCATTACTTTAGATGACACACAAATCACAGCAGTTAACACATTTTAAAGATATAAATGATATAGATAGGTATAGATATATAGATATAAATATAGATATAGATGATATAGATATCTCCTGAAAAAATGTACAAGTGGTTTTACACAAAAATTCCAAAAAGAATAATAAATAGCAGTTATTTATAATTCTGCAGGGCAGAATTCTCACCCTGACTAACTCTATATGCTGGTATCTGTGAACTAAGCAACTACACTGAGGATAGCAATGTGTAATAATAAAACCATGCTTGAAATACCTATCCTTTGGGGCTTCTAAATGTGTACTGCTTCTAATGTCATGTCAATTATTGCTATACTCTCTTTAAAGTGAATGTTTGTTAAAAAAAAGTAATAAAAGAAAACATACAAAAAGAAAAACAAACTAGAAGTTCACAAGGGCAAAAGTTAAGCAAAATTGATATGAGCTCAAAAAATCTTTAATTAAGCAGCATCAGATTCTTATACCAGTTACTAATATAGATTAAGTAAGCAGATGAAAAAATATGATACATAGATGATACAAAGCAAGTACACTCTTTTAAATCCAAGTACACTCTTAGATATATTTACCAAGTTGAACTTCAATATCTCTTTTATAGTTTTAGGTCTGTAACTACAAGGAGACTAGTCAGAACTTTTTCTAGGAAGTGATCACTCAGTGCTTTTAGGGGAATTCTAGCAGAGATATCTTGTAATGAGTTAACACCAATAAGAAACAGAAGAGGAAAAATAAAAAAAAAAATTGCACTACGAAAGTAAGGATTATTTAAAGGATAGGGTTGATGGTTTACCTTAGTTTAAGAATAGCTACTACCACAGTACAGGTTCTTGGGGCCCTCTGTAATAGTGACTACAGTAAACTCATTTCTTTTAATAGCCACAGATGTTCCTTATGTAAATGTTCTATCAAGAAGGACATACTGTTAAAGGTTCAGTATTGTAATTTATTCATTTTTCTTTGGCAATAACTTTTATATTTCAGGAGATGCTCAGGCCAGGTATGGGTGTAGAAAAAGACTAGGTGACACTTTCTTGAGATTCAGAAGACTCTTATTAACTATGCATTCCAAAGGGTGGAGTCTATGAAAATCCTTTCCAATTTTGAAAAGAAACAAGGGGCAGTCCCTGCCCATCCTTACTTGTTCTAAGTAATTGTACACATATAGCTATAGACACCATGCCCCAGACAGTTCTAAGAAAGTGAGCAGGAGTGATTGGGAAACTGGACAGAACCAGACTGCCCCTATTGGTGCTTGCACCCACTTCCTCATGATCCTAGGATTCCTTGATTTGCACTAGCTATAGACTTTTCCTTTTTAGTCCTCAGTATATTTATGAGTATAGAACTTGGTTGGTGAGCTTGTGACATGTTCTGGGATGAAATTGTAGCAAGAGAGGGAAGTTCTTGACTCTCTTGATACCTGTTTTGTCTAAAACAGTCTTCAAACTCACTGAGTCTTGAAGATCACTTTCTGTTCTAATAATAAAATCTTCTATGCCTCAGTGGCTCAGTATGCCCTGTCCTAGGGTAGACTACTTTGGGACTCTGAAGAGGAGAGGAAAGCAGAAAGGGTGTTATTCCCCAGTTATTGACCCTACTCTAAAGGCACAAAGGCAGAAAAATTGGAACTAAAACTATTTTATTCATTCTTTGAGAGTTTCAAGATTATGTATCATGGTGTATCTCCAGATATCTATTCCCATTTCTGGGAGGTGACATCAAGTGTCTCTCATCTTTGTTTCCCTTATAGGTAAGTAGTCATCACCTAAGGGTTCAGCAGCCTCCAAATGGAAAAGGAAAAGATTCATAGGATTGCAAAGTGAAGCACATTATCATTTCCTGATAATAATAACAACCATCCTTACAAAGGTGAACTTCAAAAACCTGTCCATATCTTCCAATTAAATCCTAACACATCCAAAAGCATTGATCTGCAAGTCAAAAACTATCCTAAAGAGCTGTTGTTAATGAGACTAAGCCATCTTAGTGACTGTCATAGAATTCAAGGGAGGAATGCAAGGCCCTGTCTGGAAAATAAAAGATATCCTTCAATCTTGTACAGCAATTAACCACTAAGAAGAATATATGCAGTGTGTTAGTTATTGAAACTGTCCTACCGATTTGATTTGAAACTGTCTCATTGCTCTGTTTATCAATAAAATCATGAAAGAAAAATGTTTTAAGGGGCCGGGGAGATGGCTTAATGGCATAAGCGCTTCCCTGGCAAGTGCAAGGGCCTGAGTTCAATCCCTGTTCCACAAAAATAAATAAATAAATAAATAAATAAATAAATAAATAAATAAAGTTTTAAAATTTCAGAAAAAAAAATATCCTTCAAATAAACCCAATTAGAAAAGATCTCAAATCTTTTCATGCTCTCTTAAGACTAATATTTCAATAAAAAGAAAAATCAAGATGTAATTAATCAAGAAACAAGAGATGACAGTTCTCAATTTCTTAAACAAATTACATTCTAGAATCCAGTTGAAATATTCTAGTGTTGATGAGACAGAATAATTTTTCCCCTCCTTCCAGTGGTTTGGTGGCCCCTCAACTGTGTTATGGACATCAGGTTCCCATGATTGGATTCTGGAAGAGACTAACATGGTCTAAGACTAGAAAAAATATGATGGCTCATTTAGATTAAGATTATAGAATGGTCGGAGATATGACAGCTGCCTATAAGGACTGCTTAAGACCCAATTACAAAGAAATGAAAACAGCTATGGGAAAGAACATTCCAGATTTCAGATGGCTACTTTGAAAGCTTTAAAGAGCATTGCTTGCCATCTAGTGGTCAGAAAACAGGTCACACATATCCTACAAATAAATACAGAATGAGCCTTGAGTGGGGAAAGTATAACCAACAGAAATTTATTTTTCAGTCCAACTATAGATTCTAAAATATCTCCTTGCTATGCTTGCTGAATCAAGTCATAGTTTCCATCCAACACCTTGAGGTTGTGACAAACAGGGTCAACTGTCAATTCTGCTGAAAGACTTTAGTAACATACTATAGAAATGACCCCTGAAAGTATAGCCTTTGCTGAAAGGCTTTAGGCAAGTTAATGAACCTCATATTTCCCTCCAAAAAATGTGACAATGGTATCTATCCAAATATTTATTGGTAGAATTAAACAAAGCAGTGGATATAATGTATTTTGTTGGAAGCTGCTGAATTTGAAAATTGGTCATATGTGTGAGGACAGGACAAGACCTCAGTGCCTAAAGTAGTTACGCTGCCTCAGTCTTGCAGAAGGTATCCTGCCTAGACAATTTCAGCTATTAGTTGCTAGGCAACCTTGTGTCTCATGGTACTAACTGCAAAGATATAAATAAACACCCAACTGTTATTCTCTATGTCATTTGCCAATCAGGCAAATGGGCCATTACCTGGCCTTGGCTATTAACTCTTGTCTTTATTTTCTAAATCTTCTCATCATTTTTCCCCAGGAGACCATCAAGAGACTAATTAATTCCTATATATCTTAAGCACTGAATAAATGTTAGCTGCTGCTTAAATACTAAAGACAGGTAGCAATAGAAGATGGAGTCTGAAAAATTTAGAAATTCTTTAGAGAATTTTATGGATTCACACTGAGTTGTTCTGTGGGGAGCCAATTACTGTCTGCAATGTACTTTTTGTTTGTTCATTCTGGCCTTTATGCTGCCTTCCTGAATCATATTTCTGTTCAAAAATATTAATGGCTCTCTCTGTCTCTCCCTGCAGGACTATTGGACCAGGCATGGAGAGCTCTGCACAGCAAGGCCCTAGAGCTGAGCTAACTGAACATACACTGGTGTCTCGACCATGGCTCCAAGTTTCTCACTGATTTTTCTCCCATTGCTTTGCTACCTTTATTTCCCAATGCAGATAAATTTATAATTATTTGCCTGAAATCATCTGCTTCCTTCCACTTGCCATCTTAGACAAACTGATAACAACATAGAGTTTGCAAAGAGCAAGCAACTAGTTCATTTGAAGGTTAAACTTTTATTGACCTTCAAGATTCTTCTGAGGAATCTTGTGAAGAATTTGCAAGGTCTTTCAAGTTCATTTCAAAACTAACTTTGCTCAGATTTAGTTACTTATTGCATACATGCTTACTATCCTCTTTAAAGATTACTCTTTAGCCTTGAACTTCTTTTTTATTTCTATTTGTGAGCAGTGATTTACTATTTCCTACCACATCCAAAAGGCAGCCAAGATTTGTGTATTTGCTTGTAAACAGCACAGTTCTTCAGCTCTGGAAGACCTTGGAGTCAATCAGGTTTGTGTTGGGTGGCTTCTGTGTGCTTAGATCTGGAGGAGGAGGAGATGAAGTGGCTGGGAGGGTACTACATATGTAAGGTATGGGATCAGACTGTGAATTCACAAGATAAGAGCCTTAGTAAGGAAGGTCACATGGAGACAGATGGTAGGGGGAACTGGTGACACTGCCAGAGGAAGCCTTGATGTCAAGGAGGCTACATTAGGTCTATCAATGTTAAGTTGAGAATCATACAGTGGAAAAGGTACACATTTTCTTAGGAAAAATAGGTCAAAATATGTTCACTCAAAGGATATATTTATTACTTTGGCCATAGTTTCTTGGCCACAAGCAGAAGTAAAGAATGATGAAGCTACTGCTTATAAAAAGCCATGAGGTTAGTAGTTCTCAAATAATTGGACTAGTATAATTCCTTTGGGGTCTTCATTTATTTGGAACCAAGTTACAAATTCCCTTCTCTGGAAGAGACTTCTGAGATTGTGATTGGATCAGGGATCAATCTGAGGGAAGTATACAAGCACAATAATCAAGACAGGATGGTTCTGATTTAAAGATAGATAATAGCTGGAAAAAAAGAATAAACTCTAAAATAGGATCAAAGGAGAATGGTTTTCCTTATTTTTATACCTCTGAATAAGATCAAAGGTTCCAAAACTTTTAATGAGAACACTATGATATTATTCATTTTACAAAATATTTTGCTTCTCATGAGAACCCTGAGTTAGCAATATTCTAATTTTACAGGTAATAATTATGGCTTTACAATTGAAGTTGAATATTACCTGTAGGGTAACAATTGAGTGGCAATATGATTTTCCCCCAAATTCCAAGGTAATTATACCTAGGAAATCACTTCTATTCTCTAAATCCTAGTAATAAACATAGGATGAGCTACTGAAATCTGTTTTAGGCATTGACTACAAAATTTTTGAAAGCAGAGACTGACAAGAATTAGGATTTTTTAATCTACAATGTTTTATGTAATCCCTAGATATATGAGGCTAGGTTAGTTTGTGCTATAGTAGACAATAAATCCTAAAACCTTAGTGGATTAGCACAAAAAATATTTTTCTTGCCTCTACAATATATCCATAGATACTCCTTTATTAATGGTCGTTTGAGACCAAGGTGACCTTTATTTTTCAGTAGTGTCTTCTGGAAGACATGGCTTCTGGTTTGCTGTAGCAAAAGAAAAGAAGCACACATGTGACTATCCCACTCAACACACTGGCCAGTCCTATAATGTTTTCTATCCTTAGGCAACAGGGAAACACTAGGAGCCCAGAGGGAGCAGACAATGCCTCTGCCATCCTGGCTGAGAGTATGTCTTGATGAACTTTGTTGGATAAATTAATGTGGAAACATGGCATACAGTTAAAATTATTCATGCTTTGAGGCAGCTTCCTACTTCCAGAACCTTAGATGAAAATATACCTACCTACAGGAGGAATGACCAAAGCAGATCTGCCATCTGACAGTCTACCACAAAAGAAGCATCATTCTAGAAACATGATATGGTGTTAAAGTTGAGCATGCATGAGAACTCTATGCAGTAGCTATTGATATTCTCTTCATAGACATCTCTTTCTGAAAGCTGAGATGTGAATCCCTGTTCACCAACTCACAAAGCATATGAGGTTATCTATTTTATGTAGAGGAAAGCAATGGAATCAGAAATTCATCAAAGCAATTGTCTTAGCAAAAAGAGCCAGAAGGAAGGCAAAGAGAAGTACAGTTTCATAACCTGCTTCCTTCATTCCTATTTCCTTTCTTTCCTACTACCGTCCAGTTGATCTTCTCTCATAGATCTTGAAATACATAAAAGACATGGAGGCAGCATAGATTAAATATCTCTTATGCAGAATGCTTACAACAAGAACAAGTGCTCCAGATTTCTGATTTTTGTGAAGTTTGGAATATTTGTATGTGTGTAATGAGACATCTTAGGGATGGAGACTAAATCTAGAAATATCATTTTTTAAGGCTCACACATATATTATATATATATTATCTGAGGATAATTTTATTTTATTTTTCTGTATTTTAGGGAAGGGTCTACAGAATGTTCAGGGTCTCATCACTAGATCGGACTTGTAGTGATTCTCCTGTTTACAGCTTCCTAAGTGCTGAGATTACAGGTACATGCCACCATGCCCAGTCTCAATCCCCATCTCAGCGCTCGCCAGGGGCAGGGTTGGCACAGTAGGCCTGGGTATCGAACTCTGGCCTCTGTTCCTTCTTGCAGACACTTTAATCTTCTGAGCTATTTGGACAGCCCTCAGGATAATTATGTAAATATTTTTAGTACACTTGTGTTTTGACTATAAACTATTAGATACAGTCTGGTGTGGAATTTTCTACTGGTAGTGTCAGAGTGGATCTCAAAAGTTTCAGATTTTGGAGCATTTCCAACATTCAACCTGTACAGAAAAGGATATAGTTCAGGGATTGTTTTGAACCACTGTGTTATTTCTGACAGCTCTTTGCACATTCTACTCTGAGCAAATAAAGACATGCAGCAGTGATCTCAGTGTTCCATGAGACACCGTTCCCAGTGGCTTGGATTTTCTTGGAACTGGCCAAGCTCACTTTATGCAGCACTTCTGACCCTACAGACTAGAGACTACATCCCCCACCCTCATGAACAAACATTCCAGACTGATTCATATGTGATAGAAATAAGTCAATACAATTCCAGGTCAGGTTTTGTCATTTTTATCACGTTAGCTTGTAGTCTCTGGTGCTCCATTTTTTCATCAATAAAGTGAGACAGTTACATCTACCCTCTTTTTTCTTTATGTATTTATTGCAGGGTGTACAAGCTCTCATTACGCAGATCAGACTTGTAGTGATCCTTCCTGTTTTTCAGCCTCCCAAGCTCTGGGATTCCAATCCAGAGAATCCCTTCTCTTCCCCAGATTCTCTGCCTGTCCTCAGAGATAATAAAGTCCCTTGCTCCTTTTCCTTCTGCCTATTTCCCTCTTCCCACAGCACCTGAAAAAAACCAATCAGAGTTTAAGTATCTTTTCCTATATTTATTTGTTATTTCTATATTTTTTTCATAAGAAGTTATTTTGAATGACTAGCTAAAAAAAGGAGTTTTTGATCTGGTTGCTTTGTTTTTTACTTTTTTGATCAAATTATGATTTGCTGCTGTGTATGGCTGTGACATTTCAAACCCCATATCATCCCGGTCACTTCTGTCAATCTATAAACAACTGCTGCCAGCACACACTTTCTTCCTTTCTTAGTGCCTACCAGCCAGGCCACTGAAGTCAGAACACATCACTAGCTCTATGTGGTTGTATAAAATATTTTAACCTGTTTGTCATGTATGAAATGGGGAAAACAATACTTATGTTTGGAGATTATCATAACAATTAAAAAATTAAAGCATGTAAAGCAATTCCTACAACCCAAGGCAAAAATGAAACACTGGACAAATGTGTACAATTTTATTATTATTCCTTATTTTCAGGAATGCCAAAATGAGTCTTTATTTAACAGGTCAGTGATGTCAGAACACAGACTAAACCCTTAGAAGTGACTGGGGGGAGGGCTGCTTGTACCACACTGCAGCTCCTTTTCAATGAACCAGTGTGCTGTCTCCCAGGGCCTTTGCATAGTAAACTATCCAATTGCTTAATAGAATAAAAAACTCCCCACTTTTCACCAAACTAGATGAATACCTGCATTGATGTATTAAGCACACATTTACATTATAGTTTAGTTTCAAATCTGTACTTGGCACTCATTTATTTAAAATACAGAATGTATTTTCCCACACAAAGAATGCTATTAAAATAGGGACGAGATTGATTCCCAACTGACTAAAGCACACTCTCCTCGATTCACAAAGTAGCAGACAATGGGCATAATTCAGATGTAAATAACTATAAAGCAGCAGTGTTACTCTGCAAGTCATTAACCAACAATGAGAAGCATAAAAATCAGGTAATAAATAATTTTTTTTATTTCTTATGAAGGTTAATGATAAGGAATGGTCTTAATTAGAAGAAAGGAGAATCTAGTAGAAACTTATGTAAGGAATCTCAAGGTAATTCTGAGTCATTTTCAAAAGCTTTTGAAATTTTTTACTAAGTCTGATATAACTTTTTTTTCACTCTTTCTTGACATGAAAGGATGCAACATGGATTTTATCTGCCACAAAATTTCATTTTGGGTTTGCAAATGGGAAAAGAAAGAAAATGAAAGAGATTAGAGGAAGGAAAGAGGAGTGAGAAAGATATTCCTTAGATCAGTCAACAAGTTGGAGAAGCTGAGGCGGGGGAAGTGGTGCGCATATGTACAAAGGTGGGTTTTGATTACCTACTCTGACAGCAGAGAAAAACGAGGCTCTTGAGAATGCTTACACCCTTATGAAAGGGAAATGGTAATGTGAGTAGTTCCCACTGAAATCCTAAGGCGGCATCAGAGAGCTAGATCTGTTTGGAAAAAAACAGATTTCCAGATGGGGAGAAACCAAGGTAGCTGGGCGCTCATTTATGGCTATTCATTGTTTGCAAATAAGCAAAATGCTGTACTGTTTGCACATTTTGTATTTATTTCCACGAATTAAATGCTAAACTAGAATATTAACATAACCTCATCTAATCAAAGAATTTAGGTAAAACAAGAATGCACAATTCAATCTTTAATTTCTGGTGACGCCAAACATAGTATGGGTTAAACTAAAATAAACAAAAATACATAAGTTTTCAAATGATAAAGATAAGGTTTAGCAAAAAGTAGTTAGCATCTGCTCATAAAACTAACAAGTCAGTAACCTTCACCCCAAAGAAGGTGGCCTCAGCTTGCCATAAATACTAGTTTACCATTGGTACAAAAGCGAATTTATTCTGGGTGTCCATCTTCAAGTGATACCTTCTCTGCTGATACTTCAGTTGAAAGGGATGTTTGAGAACTGGAGGGCTGAAGAGTATAGATTATACCACAAGAAACAGAATAAGTGACAGAAGCACATAGCTGACAAATCGGGG